CTTTGGACGGGGGGAGGCCATCCCACCTGGCGTGGCCTGTAGCGAAGAAGACTCTTACTACATGGACCCAGAAGGGAGGATCTGGGTGCCAGACGGTGCTGTCGACCTGCAGCAACGCCTCTGCGTTACCGCTCATCAAGGCGCGGCAGGCCACCGTCGAATTGCCGCGACGACGAAGTCAGTGTCCGACGTGTTTATTTGGACCACGCTGGCCCAAGACGTGGACACTTTTGTCCGAGCGTCGAATTGCCGCGACGACGAAGTCAGTGTCCGACGTGTTTTTTTGGACCACGCTGGCCCAAGACGTGGACACTTTTGTCCGAGCGTGCTTGCAATGTCTCCAAGTGGATGGAGATTTGGTGCCGCGACCATTGGGCTCGGCCCTTCACGCAGAGAAGCCCAATGAGTTGATTCACTTCGACTGGTTGTCGATGCCGGAATCGTCCAGTGGACTGAAATATGTCCTGGTTATCAAGGACGACTTGAGGGGGTTCGTCCACTTGTGCCCTGCTGAAGCCGCTGACGCGACAAGTACAGCGGCTGCGTTGATGTCCTGGTTCACGCTCTACGACTGGACACGAGGGTCTCTGACGGCGGGGCCACTTCAAGAACGAAGTAGTCGAATAGTGCGCAAGATGGTGGGCGCACACCACCACATCCAATGGGACGGTCGAGGTGGTCAACCGTCTAGTCCTGCGGAGGCTCAAGGCTTTGCTGAGCGAGATGAAGTTGCGAACGAGTGGAATCTAGTCCTGCCTCTGGTGCAGGGCGCGTTCAACCACCAGCCCTCGGACAGGCTCGGTGGAGTTGCCCCCGTCACGGCTTTTATGGGGCTCAAGGCGAAGGCGCCACTGGCCACGTTAGTACACCCGGCCACCAAGGAAGTTATCTGCACGGACAATCTGGACGATGCCCGTGTCAAGCACATGGCGCAGTTCAAGATTGCCTTGGATCAGCTGCACCGTGAAGTGTTTACCCGTAGCGACAAGCTGCGACAACAAGCGAGAGGACGGGGGCGACAAGAAAACGCGGGTCAAATTTGACAGCATTTCGCGCACTCCGTGTGGGTTGGTGAAGCCGGACACACAGCGAGGGCAAATGTTTGGAAGGAGACAGAGGGAATGTCGTCTCGGTCGTACATGCCAGAAATTGATGGAGA